AAACCCCCCAGCCTCCGCGGGGTGATACCCAGCCGGCACCGCCAACGCGGCCCATGGCGCGCGCGCGCACGCCCGCCTTGCAGTAGAAGACGATGTCCGGTTTATCTCCTTCTCCCGAAGACGATGACGACGACGGACGACGACGATGACGATTCCTCGGCCTCTGGCTTCCGCGAAGCCGAAGCGCGTGAGGAACTCGTCCGGCGGGAGGAAGAGGGCGTCTGGGTGTGTGCCGATGGGGATGTTTTGGGCTGTGGGGATTATGCCGGTTGCGCGGAGCTCGGCGGGTTCGCGGACGTCGATTAGGATGGGGGCCGGGGTGGTGCTGGTTGTGGGGAGGGAGGCGGTGATCTACCAGATTTGGTGGGAGGTGTTGTTAGGTTAGCTAGTTTCAGTCCAGGCGCGGTTGGGAATGGATGGGAGTATTGCCAGCCAGCCAGCCAGCCAGCCTGCGCTGGCTCGGGCTCAGGCTCAGGCTCAGGCTCAGGCACGTATGCGATGAAAAAAAGAAGAAATCGACCAAAATAAACAAATGATAGACAAATTGAAAATACGCACGGGTCGGGTCAAGAGATTGGATGGGGCATAACTATACATACCTCCTCAAACCCATACCTCTTGAACTCAGGATTCCGCTCCGCAATCTTGTCCGCCGCCGCCGCCGCCGCCGCCGCTGTCGAAAACCGCCGCGTGGCCGTATCGCGCTTCCCCCTCTGAGTCCAACTGACACCATTCGCAACTTGAAACCATCCGGCGGTCGCGGCCACACCGCGCCGCAAGGACAACGGCAGCGGCGACGGCAACAGCGCCGCCTGACGCCGGGAGGGCCCGGTCGTCAGTAGCCGTGAAGGAGCAGCCGTGCTCGTGCGGGTTCGTAGGAACTGGCTAGCTAGCCGCGGCGCGGAGGAGGAGGGGGAGGAGGGGAGGGAGCGGGCGACGGACATGGCGGGTTCGTTAGTTGTTTATTTACTTATTTAGCAGATGATGATGATGATAGGGAGAGGGGGGGTTTAGGAAAATTCCCCCGGGTGATTGTGAATTAGAGATGGGAGAGGTGTGTGTGTGTGTGTGGATAGTTACTTACTCCGTAGTTAACGTACTTTTTGTGGCGGGCTGCTGGATGATGTCAGCGGAGCTCAGTAACTAGTTAACTGGTTAACTACGCACTACACTGTAACTTACCAGCTAGCTAACCAGTGAAAGCCTCCAGAAACAGTTGGAAATGAAGATTACTCTGGGGGTCGAGGTACTACGTAGGCATCACACTCAGGCTTTTCCAGAGTAGGTTGCCCGGACGCCTAACAGCGCAGGAAGTTTCTTGAATCAACTAACTCTCTTCCTCCCCTCCAGTGCTGAAAATATTAACTGCTGGCACATTGCATGTACTGTATTGTATGTATGTACAGTACATGTACGTTCCTCTTGCATGCAATTCTGCAATCAGTCGTTCTCGTGTAGGGGAACGAGCGGTGGTAGCAGTCAGGGAAGTCGTAGGACTGCTGGAAAAGGGAGAACCCCCCCCTTGAAGGCAATGAATGAATGCATTGAATCGAATATTAAGAACAATATAGCTAAGAAAATGAAATGAAAGATGAATTCAATGATTAAAAAAGGACTATTACTATGCGATATAAAAACGAAAAAAAAAAAAAAAAAAAAAAAAAAAAAAAAAAAAAAGCAAATGTTTTCTGCTCAATTCTCCTCTCGTCTCGCGCGTCCCGGCTCCTGACTCCCGTCTCCTGACTCCCCGTTTCGCACCCAAACATCCTGTAACCCCCGATACAATCAATCAATCAACCCCCTTCCAGTTCTCCCATTCCCACTAACGCCACCTCTTTGTTCTTTAATTCTGTCTATCAGATCCATGACACCTACGTCTCGGGTAGGATTACTATATGCCTCATGGTGCGCTGTTGCTGTTGGGAGTAGTTGGCGGTTTGGTTCGTCGTCATCGCTGCTGATTGGTTGATTAGGTTTCAGCGGGTTTCAATAGTGCCCCATGTCATTCGCCCAATCAAGCTGTTCGAAGAATAGAAAGGCTGTCTTATCGGTGGCGGGTTGAGGGTTTTGTTCATTGGGCTTTCCTGTGTTTTGTGATTTTTTTTTACTTTCTTTCATTCTTTTTTTTTTTTTTTTTTTTTTTTTGAAGGGAGGGGGCAGGGAGCGAGAACGTGAAAGAGAGGGTTGGTGTGTAAAACATTGCGGGGTGATGGATGGATGAATTGGGGAGAAAACATTAAATGTAATGCATTAAAAAGATGAGGCAGGAGAGTCATTTATTCAGGTCTTCGGCGGAAAACGAGGGGACAGTCATCCTATTAAATAGTTTCAAGATGTTAGTTATTCTACTTCCTCTTCTTCTTTCTCATGATCTGAATCAACAAGACATGGGCGACTCACTTCAGGGAAAATCGTAGCGAAAACTCGAATATCTTCCGACGTGGGCGTGGTATGATGTTCCCAGTCGAGAAGCATACTAGCCTTGCCAATCATAGCCATCAAATTTAGTTGCGCGTACGTCTGGCCCAGACAATAGTGTGGGCCCGTGCCGAAGACCAGGAAGTTCTTTGCAGCCTTATCCGCTTCGCCGTTCAGCCATCTCTCTGGGTTGAAAGTATCCGGATCCGGGTAGGCTTCCGGGTCATGCGTGGAGGGCCAGACAGAGGGGATGATCATGGAGCCCTTGGGCAACGTGTAAGTGTCCGTGACGGGGAAATCCTTCTTGACCATGTAGGGGACCATGATTACTGGCGGACGGTAGCGGAGGGTTTCTCTGACGACAGCACGGGTATAGTCCATCTGGTCAAGGAGCTCCATGCTGATGGGGACATTGCGATCACCGCCTCTGAGTCTCAGGTTCTCCTCACGGACTTTGGCGAGGATCTCGGGCCTGTCGGACAAGAGTTGGAAGAGCCAGGTGGAGGCGCTGCTGGTGGCGTCCTGTGAAGCAAACAGGAAGGTGAAGATGGTCTGGGCGATTTCATAATCGGTGAAGTCGCGCAGGATGTGGGCTGGTTTTTCCGAGTCCTCCACGGGCAGGCCCTTGGCGATCTTCTCGCGATAAGCGGCCGAGTCCAACATATTCTTGACCCAGGCGTCCATGATGCAGGTGACCTTCTCGCCTTTGGCCATGCGAACTTTACTCTTGACAGCGCACTTGGTGAACTCGCGCAGGACCATATCTGACGACCTCTTCCCGTACCATGTCTTGGTGAAGGGGATGATGATGGGGAAGTTGACCAATTCGAGAGCGGCAGTGATCAGATAGTAGTCGTCCGCGACGTGTTTGACGGCCTCGTCCGACATGTAGTGGCCGACAAAAGTGCGACAGGACAAGGCGGTCATCAATTCCCGGAAATGTGGCATCCACGGCTCAGGCTTCATGTTGAGCTCCTCGGATCTCTGGACGAACATGTTGTAGAAGCGATCGTAGACATCTTCCAGCTGGGGCAAGTAGTTGGTCAGGGCAGCCCGAGTGAAGAGGCCGTTCAAGCCCTTGCGGAATTCCACGTGTTCCTTGCCGTCCAGAAACACCCAGTTGTCCTTGCCCAGGAGTTTGTGAGCGACATCGACAACGCACGGTTTCACATATGCTGGTGAGTTGAAAACCTTGCGGGACATATCGCGGGTTGACGCGATGACGACGAACCTGCAGGCGCAAACGCGGGGCGTGCGCATGTCAGCTTCTTTCAAACGTAAATAGATATGTATATATATGTATATATTACATATATATATATATATACAAATCCACAGGGGATACCATGAAAGCAAGAGGGAGAACCATACTTGTGGAAGACGGAGACGCAGCTCAATTCGCCGCTCGCCCACTTCGCCTGGTACTCGAGGAACTTTGGATTCACCGACTGAAGGAAGGGGCCCATGAAGGGGATCTTGAACCTGGGGCCTTCGATGGATCCCTTGAGCCAGATGTATTTCACTGAGAAGGGCGAGAGTCAGCGCTTGTTCTGATGCCCCTGCTTCTTTGACAAACCCATTGGGGCAAATCAATCATGCTATCAATCATGCTATCAATCACGATATCGATGCTTATAAAAGAACACACCTTGATCGTACGTGACGAGGAGCAGAAATATGGTGAAGATGGTGGTCCAGAGGGTCATGCCGTTGTAGAAGGACATCAGCAGTCCGGATCGATCCCAGCCGACAGAGGAATCCAGCCCGACATCAGGGACGGGAGAGTCCAAGGACCCATTGAGGGTGTCCATGGCCGATTGAATGAATCCAAGGAATCCAAGGAATCCAAGCAATTGAAGGCCAAGGGTGCTTTTTTTTTTTTGTCGGGACGGCTCTGAAGGAGCGTTAGGGACGTTGTAGGGAGCCTCAATCAGGGAGGGGAGACACGAAACACCAAAAAACCCGAGGGGGGCGGGGAAGGGGAGGAGCGTGCCGCGCTGCAGGACGCCGGGAATCCCGGGGAGAGCAGAGGTTGGATGGGAGCGATCAATCCAGACAATCCATGCACGGCAGCGAGGATGGAGGATGGAGGATGAGTTGGGTGTGATCTGGAATGTGGATGGGAATTGGAGGACGAACCAAGGAAGAAATACCAGCAACAAAAAAAAAGGGATGTTGGTGGTACCTGGTTGGTATTGGTGGTACCGTAACGTAACTCTCGAAAATGGAGATGATCCAAGTCTGGATGATGCCAAAACAGCGCTAAGACCCGGGCGGAGTGGCCAGCAGCCAATAACAGGCCAGGCCCTGACTGACTCAGCCTGTGGTGCAAGCTTGGCTTACATATTATTTAATTTTTTGTTACCGGCCATTCCTGGAACGAGGTCGGTACGGAGTACTCCGTACCCGTGGACGCTGTATCCATCTCGTCCCGGTCATGTGACACCCCCGGCTATTCGGCGATGGCGTCAGGGACAGCGGCAGAGGAGCTGGGCCGAGATGCAAGACGCCAGACTGTCATCGGGGGATATCATCATAGATACGGAGTACTACCATCGATAAATATCATTGCTAGTATCATCTTCAGAATTTGATACCTTTTTTTTTATTGATCTACATAGAGTGGGAAGCTCCTATGACTGCCAGCAGTGATCATATATTATGTTCGATCAGTATCTATACTAGTTCAAAATAAGATTTATTACAATAGTAGACAATGAGCTTAAATCGCAGTATTGCATTTCCGCTCGAGACTTTGAATTTATACCTTTTTAATTTCAATTATTAGCACTATCAATTAGCCATGCTATCATATATATATATATGTATATATATCATGTTATAGTAAAAAGATATTAGAGTATGAAGATTCTACGATACTGGTATCTCCATATCTTGATCTAAAAGACACAAGCAACGAAGTAGTATTTTTTATCTGTAATTAATACAATGTTTTCACCATGCCTTTATAAAAATTTAGTGCCTCTTGGCCGTGTGGAATTAAAATTCTCCATCCCCGAATTGCATTTGCCATTTGCCATTTGAATCAATCACTCAGCAAAAGCACAATCCACCCACCACCCCGCCTCCTCTTTTCGAACCAGAGAACACTTTACAGATTATATAGTAGATGACTACGTGCTATTTCCTGTCCCACCCGCAACGGCAAAGCTCCTCCCCAGCTAGACCCAGCCACCGCAGCCAGCCCAGGAGGCCAGCAAAACCCCCCGCCCTCCCCGGGACTGCCAGTGAGCAGCGCCCAGTGACTTGCCGGAGTGTCATCGGGCGACCCTGACTGCTCTCCTCACTGTAGAGGACGCGCGCCTCCGCCGTCGTTCTTACAGCAGCGTAGGGGAGTTATTATAAGTTAGCACATCCAGATACGAACGAACTGACTTAACGACCGTCCACTTTCCGTCCATGTAACCCAACTACTTTAGTCCCCTCGTTGCTCGGGGATTCCCTAGCGGGAACAAGGAGAGAAGAGAAAGGGGGAACAGGATACAGAAAGAACAAACGAAAAAAAAAAAAAAAAAGGAAAGAAAAAGAAAAGAAAAGTAAAGTTTTTAAGTTTTTTTTTGGTTGGGGGGGGAAGGGAAAGGAGAAGTTTTTGGTTTGGTTTGTTATTGGTTTTTGGATCGCCTTCCTGGTAGTTAACTCGCTAGGGGGGTTAGTGAGCGAAGCAGGTTTGATGAGCTTAAAAGTTATCGCTATGTGGTCTATGTTTTGGAGGTCCCAGTGTCGCAATGCGGGTAGTTAATTTGACTTGCGCACATTCATGTTGCAAGTTGGTGATGATAGTACAACACCAGAAGAAAACACAATCCTTTTGCGCGTTATTGTCCTTTCCTTTCCTTTTTTTTTTTTTTTTTCCTGGGCCTTCAATATGAGGGTGGCATAACTGTAATAAACTACCATGATCTATCTAACTATTGATTTTGGTTCGTTGCAATTGCAATCGCAATCACATATGCGCATTCTCTCCAGTAGCTCCAAGAATCAACCAGGTGAAACAAACAATGAACAGAAAAAGAAAAAAAAAAAAATAAAACATAAAAAAAAAAAAAAAAAAAAAAAAAAAAAAAAAAGAATCACCTCCCAAACCCAAACCATCCCCCCTTCTTCGCCTCCTTCTTCGTCTCCGCCGCTGCCTGCGCATCCTGCATCGGAAAATCCGCGTCCATCCCCGCACCCGAACCAGTTGCGAGCCCCCCCTTATTAGATCTCCGCGGATAATCGATATAATTGAACGCAACGTCCAGGAACAGCGGCTTCACGGGTACCGGCTCTATCTTGGGCGGATACGTCACCAGCCGTGTCAGGTCGACATGGCTGCCTGACGGTGGGTACTCGTTCAGGCGCTCAATCATGGGCGGTGGCAGGAGGCTATCTCCTCCGCCTCCTCCGCCTCCTCCGCTGCTGCGTTGGGAGGAGAGACGCTCGATCTCCACGATGCCCCGGTATTGCCAGACGAGGCTTTGGAGGTGGGCGTGCAGCGCGGCGGCCTGTGGACTGGAGACCTCGAGGCGTGGTGGGCCTCTGTGTGCTTCTTGCTGCTGATGCTGCAGGCTGTACGTGTCGGGGCGCGGAAGAGCGGTGGACGCGAGATCCAGCGCGCGTGAGAAGAGCGCGAGGGCATTCTTTGGGCTGGAGAGGAGGGCGTGTGCTCTGCCGACTGCCAGACACCTGATTTTGATAAGTGTGCGTTAGCAGACGGAGGCACGTTGTATCCTTTTGGTGTTAAGGGGTAAAAGGGAAAAAAAAAAAAAAAAAAACAAAAAAAAAAAAAAAACAAAACACTACCTGAGTGACTGGAAATAATTCCTTGTTGCATTTAGCTCCTCCACGAAGTCGACGTCTCCTGCAACGCCAGGCAGCTCCCGGATGAAGTCCAAGCTCTGGAGGGTCGCATCGTACAGCGTAGTGCGTTCGCGCAACCGCGCGAGTCGGCGGCCGATGCCTTTGCCACTGGATCTCCTAGATTTCTGCTTCCCGCCGGCTGCTTTCACTTGCTCTGGTTTAAAGCTGAGACCGTCGTCAGTGCCACACAGTATCCGGTTGCGGCCCACGCGCCATCCCACCAGCGCGTAGTTCACTGCTGTCCGTGTCACTTGCAGTGCTTGCATGCGTTTGTCCGCCGGGTCAATCCCCTCGGCGGAAAGCTCATCAATAGTCGTCTTGGTCGCGTCCACCGCGTCCTGGCTAGCGCTTATCACGTTATCGTAGTTCGCTGCTTTTTCACTGAGTGATGAAGATTGGCCAGCGGGGCTCGAGAGCCACGAAGATAGCTGGGCTTCTGCTAGAGCAGCGGCTGCCAGTGCCTGGGATATAGCCGCATCTTCCAGCGCGACTGTCCGGGACCTCCAAGTAATGGTCTGTGGGATATCCTGGATGGTGACGCCGTCAGCCGCCGGTTGTTTATTATTAGAACCCCGCTCGACGAAGCAATCTGGGTCGATGGCAGTCACTTCTCCGCGGACTGGGGAATCGGATGGTACGTTTTTGATCGCGATGGATTCTAATGCTGCCGACCGGGGCAGCTTTAACTGGTAAGCCGCATATCGTAGACCTGGATCGATGGAGGTCGATAAAAGATCTCGATAGGTTTCCCTCTTCGCTTTCGTGCTGAGCGCGCCGTATATTACTTTTGCAACCGAATATTGTTGTAGACACAGGTCCCATCTCTTCTTTTCCATCCAGAACGCCCCAAGGAGGGAAGCTAGATAACCCCGCGCCTCAAGGAGGTCGATGTTGGATGCGGAAGACGCTGACGGATCTTGAAGGACTGAAACCAGTTGTTTTCCGTATAGAGTCGCTTTATTCAAACGAGATATTATATGCCGTCTTGCAGAACTGGCAATGCCCTTGGTAGACGGGTCTGCGGAGTGGGTCGACTTCATATGCATTGCGGTAGCCCACGCTCGCTCCGCGCAGAGGAGTATGAGAAATGCGAAGCTGGTTGACTGTCAGCAGGAGATCTCCTCTAGTCGATTTTCTAAAAGATCAGCGAAAGGCTGAATGGCATATGAAAAACATACTTGGTGTCATTGGCGACCTTCTCTGCTGTTATCGTAGGTTTCGGAGAGTACTTTTTACCACGCGGGGTTGTCTGGCCCAACTTCTTCCGTATGGTATGTAATCTGCGAGTCAACTGTGTTCGATATGAATTGTAATCCCCGGCCAGCAGAGCGTCTTCCCTGTGGCTAACTATGAAGCTGGTGATGTCCATTGCTGTGGACCATAGTAGGCCGTCACGGTCTTATGGAAGCAGCCCACGCCTAATCCACAGACTTTTAAGCGTATGTGACGCTGATCCTGTGATGTTTGAAGGACATTGTGCGGTGGCCGGCGCCGGAGAAACCTGCGGGCCGCGGACGCAGCGGAAAAATATCCTTTGGTCGTTTGTTTCCCGCCCAAGGAATCTCCGCAGGAAAAGTACTAGTTACAGCTCTATCTGCTTTGACAAAACAGTTGCGATCTAACATCCTGTTAATGCTGTTGAATCTGAAGGTTCTATCTTTAACCATAGTGAACTGGGACACTCAGCGCCCAGGCTTAAGTGCTTGCGCTTGTTTTTCCTTGGTCCTTCCCTTAAGGTTGCGGATCATAGCAACTTGAATTTGCTCTCAATCCTGAGTAAGTTTTTGTCAATTCTCTTTTCTTCTAGTGTTTATATTAGTTTTATATATAATTATTGTTGTTTAGACATTATACATTTTGTCGGGTTCGGTATGGCTATGCAATTGGTTTTTGCAAACTCCTTTAACTGACCTCCTCCCCTAGCCATTTGCGATATGCATTTCCCGTTATAACCACCGTTGAAATCCTCTTCTTCATACACCCGGCTCTGGTTCAGGGGATGCTGGAGCGAGCAGCTCAGCGCCTTGAAAACGCAGGAGAATGTCTTTTCCGCCATTCGAAGCGCCACGCTCGCAGCCGTCGAGTTTTACATCCGGAATTCTGGCATCATGGCGTTGCTGACATCGAGGCTCCCTTGTGGAGCTCTGATTTCCTGCACCCACCGCGATCCTCCTCGTCCGCCGCTAAACCCTTACCAGCTGCCGTTGAGCCATTTGCCGTTCTCTTTAACTACCATCTTCCAAATACGCGCTTGGAATGCTTATACCCGCCAGAAACACAAATATTTGCACGATATTGCCTTCCTCGCATCATCATCAAAAGCTCCGCCGAATGTAGGAGAAAGTCGGGCAGCCGAACTTATTATTCAACGAAATCTGGCGAAGTGGCTCAATCCCAGTCGCGCCATGAGGAGGTTTCACCGGAGCCTCAAGATAAACAGAACTTTGAAGGGTCGAAGGAACTCGAAGAGTCGCTGGCGGAAGGGAGGGAGGAAGAGGAGGAGGAGGAGGCATTTAAGTACTATGACCTTTACAAAAGTCCTCGAAGACCAATTACTCTCCCTAAGCGGCGAGCGTCTCCATTGTTGCCTGCTGTGAGGTTCGGGCTGGCGTATTGCAACTTTTATCGACGCCAGCAGGAGACGATGTCACGAGTCCGGATGAAGCAACTAGGGTTGGCATGTTCTCGGAAAACTAGGGGCTTTCGTACAATTCTCACCCGTGGAACAAAATCCAAAAGACGGCGTCGCGTTAGCAAGGATGGGGAAATAGTTATAGATCCCCATATTCTGCGGCGGCTTGATCGATATATTAGCAATAATTCTCCACGGAGCTGTCGGGCTGTATGGAGACTCTATCAAGTTGTCAAGGACCAGAAGCCCGAGTACCATCCACGCGTCCTTGCCTATCTTTCAGAATCCCGGGAACCTGTGGATCGAATCCGTTCGAGACTAGCATTTGAAGCTATCGAGATTGACCAGAGAACTCCAGAAGACTATGGCCACGTAACGAAGTCTCTTATCCAATGTGAAGGGAATATCGATTGGGTTAGGGGGATTTGCAAGGAAGCAGTGTCGAAACTCAAAGGAGAAAAGTGTTGGGACATCGCCATGGTTGCGTTGGTGGACCAGATGAAGTGGAAGGAGGCATTCGAATTTTTCTCCTTTAAGCCCTATCTCCCGGAAGGTCAGCCATTCAAACGGATTAAATATCATGAGTTATCGAACATGCTCAGCTTACCGGAAAGAGTTTTGAATTTGCTTGAGTTGCTACGCGAGAAAATGCTAGACCTGTCGGAAGCTACTCCGCTGGTCGGCTTCTTAGTTCACTTGGTCATCAAGAAGAAAACTATATTGAGGCAAACCCCTATTGAACAAATTCTGCTACTGTTCTACAGCCTTCATGCCATTCGCTTACTCGAGAGTCAACATTACTTCTGGGCCTTGTCGACGTTACGATATCTAGATCTCGAATTAAAAACCACCCCGCGCCCTCGAAGTGTACTGGCATTTTCGCTTATTGATGGGTACCACAAAGCCCCCTGAGAAGGTTCTTGCTGGACTTTTGAAAGTCGTGGCCGTACTGCGGAAACCTGAGGCTACTAACCAACTTCTCAGGGAGTTTCGGTTATTCTATGAAAAGCCGTCGGAAGAAGCATATCAGATCGCACTCACAGCATTTTCCAGACTTGGTGATTTCCGGAGGGTAACTGATTTATTTAAATCCTACGTGAACCATTATGGCCAGCCCAGGAAGCTCAGGTTGGTTAACCCTCTAATATACGTTAATGCCGCAGTTGGCAGGGTTTATCAAGCCCGGAAGCAGCTAGAAAGGCTACGTAGCGAGTTCTCGCTGAGCCCTGACGTGACGAGCTGGAATATTGTCCTGACTGCCCACGCGAAGGCACGGGATAAGCCCGGAGCGCTATCAACTTTTCAAGAAATGATTGCTACTGGGTTAAAGCCAGACTCGCATACACTCGGAATCTTAATGGGGATGTTTGCGAAGGACGGCAACGTCGAAAGCGTCATGGATTTCTTGCAGCTTGCTAGGGGATATGATATTCAACTCAACATGGCAATGCTTCACCCGGTGGTGGAGACCCTCTGCAACAACCGAAAATATGATGCTGCCGAGAAATTTGCAGATACGGTGATGAAGCTAAAGGCTCCCGGCCCTACTACTCGCATGTGGAATGTCATCCTGTGGCACTACGCTTTCCTCCCTGACATAGATTCTATGCTAGCAGTGCATGATCGGATGAGAAAACTAGGAGTGAAATTCGATCATATGACGTATGCAGCCACCATCCTGGCTCTTGTTCGCAGTGGAAACCATGATGATGCTATTCAGGTTATTCGAAGACTTGAGGACCGTCGCCAAGTTTCCGTGACCCAATTCCATTTCGCGATCCTTTTGTATGGCTATGCACTGGCAGGGGATGTGGAAATGATCGAACATACCCAGGGCGAAATCATGAAAAAATTCGGCCACCTGAGTCTCAGCTCGAGACTATCGGTGCTCAAGGGGAAAATTCATATGGACAAGAGGCTTCTCGAGGAAGGGAAATACGTTGGGCATAATAACGAAATTCGATTAGTGAATGCAGAGGCGTTTCTGGATTCCATTATGAAAGACTTCGGTATCAGAGAGTGGGCTACGAAAGTTCCACAACCTGGGGCAAGTCAAAAGTCTGTCCGCGATGCCTTTCCTTCTGTGTATTACGAGGAACTCATCTCCGCCTACATGAGCCATGATGCAACTGTGAGGGCGAAGGAACTGGCCGAGAGGTTGGAGAAGAAACAAAACCGCCTCATCAGGAATCCGAATCTTGTGCCACTCAGCCAGTTGGCTCAAAGAATGAAGCTCCAAGCGAGAGATAGAGGGTTCGACATGGTCGAGAAACTCTGGAGGAAAGCATTTAATCAAGCCAAACTTGGAACAGCCATTACAGCTTCTTTCAAACCCAACCGCTCTAACAATCCTGATGACCCTCAACCCGTCCCTATAAGGCCCATGTCAACTGCTCAGCGTTTTTCTCTTTCCGAATGCCTTTCTGTGCTCATGGAATGCTACGCAGAGCAGAATCTCCATTCCAAAATCGCCGTCGTTATATCGGAAGTCCAAAAGTCTGGCTTTGTTCTGACGACCCATAACTGGTCATCCTATATTGAACTACTTGCTGTTTCCTCCAGACGAGAGGACCGACTGAATGCTTTTATTCTCTTTGAAAAACTGTTCATTCCTAACTACACTGGTTGGACACAGGTAAGGGCGAGATCGACTGCACGGCCCAGCCATACTCCATCCACATTTGCTCTTCAGGAGAACAGACATCACTATTCCTCCCGCCGGCCTGACCATATGGGCTACAGCGAAAGTTATGCATGGTCAAACTTGAGCCTGACTACATGCAGCCGTCTACGACACATGGCTACGTCTAGCAGCCGCGCTAGTTGACGCCAGGGCGCGCTCCGTTCTAGATTCAGGTGAAGAGGTTAACTCGATTCTCCTGTCTGCCCCAATGACCATAATTGCTATGGGGAATGTACATGACCCCCAAGGAGGATTTGGACAGATATTAAATGAAGCTCAGCATGTCGTCCAGTCGGGCCCTATCAAGTCTGTGGTGGAACCAGGGTTTGGCGAGCAAGGGATAGTTAACCGCGAATCTTCTTTGGAGCCATCCGGGAAGGCTACCGATGCCCATAATGATAACAATAAAAACACTGTGGTTCCATCTCCGTACCACCTCATTCCGGTAGCTACCGGTGTGTCCAGGGAAACAGCACCAGATATGCCTTTGATCAAAACGCTCCTGGAGGAAGACGCTCAGTGGAGACAGATTGAATACAAACGGCGGGTCCAGCGACGTCAATTCTTAGAAAACAACCCACCCTTAAACGGCATTCCTCCCAGATTGCCGCCCCACTTACGTGGCAGGGGCCGGGAAACGGGTCACTGGCAAGTGTTGCGAGAAGTGGGACTCCTCAACACACCCCACCTAGTTCAACATGCCCACCTTGAGCTACCAGAGAGATCTCAGGAGAACCTAGAGGACGAAGAGGAAGGCTTGGGCAAAGAGCGAATCCTCTGGCGCAAAGAGGAATCGGAGTGGCGCAAAAAGGTCAAAAGTGGACGCTGGAAGGACTGGATCCCGGCACGCAATCGAAGACTATGGCTCAAGAAGATCGATTCCCAGAACCTGCCACTGATCCTTCAGTATCTCCGTCTCGAAGAGGATGCGTATGACGTCAAAGATCGGTACCGCAAGGAATGGGTTTTCTGGTGCAGACTGCAGATCTGGAGGCACATGAAAGAGGAGGAGCGAATTGACTGGAAGCTCTACCATGAGAAAAATAGAAGTAAACGCTGGCGGGGCCTTCGGGAGTGGCGGCAAGACCTTAACTGGATCCGGAAGAAGATACCTCTGCCTGGTCGTGTGGATGGCGAATTCGCCAGTGATCGAGACCATGAGGCGCATAGCCTCCATTACCATGCCAAGACACGTTTAAACCAGATCCGGGATATGATGGCTAAGGTGTACAAGCTAGCTTATCAGGATATCTGATTGGAGATGGTTTTGGCTTGGATTTCTTTTTGGGGTCGGTTGCCCATTATTATGTAGATATTTCTGTATATTATTCATGACCCCTTTTTCGATTTTGCTCTTTCGCATCCATTTTCTGTCATACATGTTGGATAAGCACTATCATCTACCATTGCTCTAGCGCTTGAATTGATCATGAACCTGAGTGGAAGCTCCAAGTAGAGTGCATTTCCCAATTAGGCATAATTGAAATATCACATGACCGTCATTGACAACGCGAAATACGCGTTCACGCGAAGGAACAGCCGACGCGTCCTTTCAAGCTTCAAACTCATTCATTTCGATTGCGTCTGGGATAAATTCAATTCTGCCTCTATATTCCCATTAAAACCTCGTCCGGCAGCACACCCATACACATATACAGAGTTTACATACATATCCTGGGGCCTAGCACACAGCTGAAGATTGTTTTGTGTCAATTAGAAGACCCTGCATTGCGGGTTCGTTGAAGATCAACACCCACCTTCACCATGGACCCCCAGGATCGCATCCGGGCTGCCGCTGAATTTCTCGATCCTAGTGAGTGATTCCTAGCCAAAAACTGTGGTATCTAGTAGAAAATCTAATTGTTCTCGTTTTCCTGCTCGCTAGGTGATCCACGGGCGAGAAGGTATATCCAATGCCCATCTCTTGTCCCTGTGGTAAATGTGGCGATGTTTCTAATAAGCGCTGTAGTTATCGAGCGGACATTGTTTTGATGCTTAATCGCGGCTTGCGAAGACTCACGGTATGAATCATCATACCTTCGTTTGATGTTATGGTTTCTGGCCATTTGAAACGTCAGATCGGCTAACTTGTCTTTTTGATCCATTCTGTAGGTCAGCTTAGATGAAATTCGAGCGCACAGTGCAGAATTGGTCAATGGGTTTGTTATCAATCTTCTAGTTTACGGTACGGACTAGTTCTCACTATTGATTGGCAGCCTCCTTACATCGCCGCACGATTACACTCAGGCATTTAATTCAGCATTGAAGGAAATTATCAGCACCCTGCCTAATCGATCGCCAAAGGAGACATCAAACGATACAGTACGTAACTACTGTATGCTATATTGTATGATTTTGGATCCTGGAATACTGACTGTGGCGGACATGGGCAGGTGTACTACTGTGCCTACGTTGGTGCATTTGGCGAGTTTGCTTGCAATCCCCGCACACTTGGCTCCTCTCACCTAAACCGATTGATATGTCTTGAAGGCATTGTTACGAGATGTTCGCTCGTCAGACCCAAAATTATTAGGAGTGTTCATTATAGTGAGAAGAAGGAGGAATTTTTGATGAGGACGTATCAAGATCAGACTATGACTGCTAGCGGGGCGACGAATTTGAACGTATACCCTCAAGAAGATGACGAGGGGAATCCTGTAGGTGTATATGGGCTCTATCTATGGAGACGAGATTCTATCTGGCTAACTCATGTGATAGCTCATCACTGAGTACGGATATTGTATATATCGAGACCACCAAACCATTTCGATGCAGGAGATGCCCGAGCGAGCCCCTGCAGGGCAGCTTCCAAGGGGCGTCGACGTGATACTTGACGATGATTTAGTCGATAGAGCCAAACCCGGTGACCGGATTCAATTGGTTGGAATTCATAGATCCCTTGGAAATCGAAACGCCAGTACAACCAGCTCTACATTCCGTACGGTTATCCTAGCAAACAACATCATCCAACTCAGCTCTAAATCAGGTGGTGGAATTGCGCAATCGACGATAACAGACACTGACATTCGGAACATTAATAAACTTGCGAAGAAGAAGAATGTCTTCGACCTTCTGTCTCAATCCCTCGCGCCCAGTATATACGGTCATGATTACATTAAACGAGCGATTCTCTTTGATGTTATTAGGCGGTATAGAAAAGAATCTTTGATAACGGGGACTCATCTACGTGGTGATATCAACATTCTGATGGTCGGCGATCCTTCTACCGCCAAATCACAACTTCTTCGTTTCGTACTCAACACAGCTCCTCTGGCAATTGCCACCACTGGTCGAGGCTCGTCTGGAGTTGGTCTTACAGCAGCTGTAACGACCGATAAAGAGACTGGCGAGCGGCGATTGGAAGCCGGTGCTATGGTCTTGGGAGATCGAGGCGTTGTATGTATTGATGAATTCGACAAAATGAGCGATATCGACCGAGTAGCGATCCACGAAGTCATGGAGCAGCAGACCGTCACAATCGCCAAAGCCGGTATTCACACCTCCTTAAATGCTCGATGCAGCGTCATTGCAGCTGCAAACCCGATCTATGGACAATACGATACCCATAAAGATCCTCACAAGAACATTGCCCTCCCCGATTCCCTAATCTCGCGTTTCGACTTGCTCTTCGTTGTTACGGACGATATTGAGGATGCTAGGGACCGCATGGTATCAGAGCATGTGCTCCGTATGCACCGGTACCGAGATCCTGGCATGGAAGAAGGAGCCCCAGTGCGTGAGCAGGTCAATAACAACCTCGGAGTTGGGCTAGAAGAGAATCAAGATTCAAATCGTCCGACTGAAGTATACGAGAAGTTTAACGTTATGCTCCATGCAGGGATGTCCGTCACTACTAGCCGGGGACCAAGCAGAAGAATTGATGTTCTCAGCTTGCCATTTATCAAGAAATATATTCAATACGCCAAATCAAGAATCAAGCCCGTGCTCACTAAGGGAGCCGCGGATCATATCGTGGCCACCTACTCCGCTCTTCGAAACGATGAGCTGTCTGGAAACCAAAGAAAAACCTCTCCCATGACCGCCCGTACCCTAGAAACCCTTATTCGTCTATCCACCGCGCATGCCAAAGCACGTCTCTCCAGCCGAGTCGAAGAAAAGGATGCCAAGGTCGCAGAGTCGATTCTCCGTTTCGCGCTATTCAAAGAAGTCGTCGATGACGAAAGGCGCAAGCGAAGAAAGACAGTAAACCTCGAGTCCGACTCCGAGTCTGATGACTCCGACTCCGGAGTTGAGGAGTCGCAACAAACACCTGCGGCTCCACGCTCAAGTCGACGCCCAGGCCTCAGAGGAAGCAGTACCGCCGCGCGAAATGGAACCAACACCCAAGGTGATGACAGCGATGAAAACGACGACTTATACGACGCAAGCCCCCGCTCCCGCCGCACGCAGGCATCCTCCCGCCAAACCCGCAGCCAGCTAGGCGCCACGCAATCCGAATCGCAAATGTCTTTCGCTTCATCGCAGCCCGCATCGCAACTCCTGCGCTCGCAGACGGACGATAATGAGAGCCAGTCGCAGCCACCAATTGCAGAGGCGGTTGGGACGGCGGAATCGCTGCCACCACTCTCGTCCGCGCGGTTGGCAACGTTCCGGCAGGCACTTGGGCCGCTCATGAGGTCAGAACTGTTCGAGGGGGATTCGGCGGGGGTGCGGAATGTGATTGAGGCGGTAAATGAGTCGATTGGCGCAGCGGGTGGAAGGGCGTTTACAGCCGCAGAAGCTGTACAGGCGTTGGGTGTTATGAATGAGAAAAATGAAATTATGTATGCGTCCTTCCAATTCCCCTTGCCCTCACCACCCCACACACATTTCCTTTTTCGTTTTTCTTTTATACCATTTTGCTAACCCTGTCGCCCATAGGTATCTCGGTGATGAAACTGTTTACCGCATCTGAGAAACTTTTCACGTTATTATGTCTTTCCTTCGCCAATTTCATGTACGTTGCCTAGGCTCAGCCTGGTTTGTTCTTGGGAGAGGATAGGATGATGAATGATTTAAAAAAAATGCAGAAGCGGTTTCTTTCCACAAAATCCCACTCCCTTTATTAATGAGTGTACGGGGGTGTTTCTCATTTAGTCGGATCTACCAATGGCGTGGAGGAACTTTTTCAAATAATGTTTGTTTTCCTACTTGCAAATGTTATTTCATTGTCTAGAGGGAAACTGGAATTTATTTATTATTTTTCCTCTTTTTTGGCTGGCATTTATGCATCCCCCTTTTTTTTTTAAATAAAAAAGAAGAAGAAGAAATGGATTTATAACCTAGATAAACAGAAAATCATGGCAATCATAATAACCCCCCGGAAGAAAAAATTGTCTACAACAGTTATATCCCCTTCCGTAATTTTTTCCCCTTTTTCTTTTCAGTATGATCATTGCAGAGGGAGTGGGTTTTTTATTCACCCAGCATGGCGGTGGCCTAATACCCACCCAATTCATAGTCTATAATTCTCTCTCTCAGATTTATTAACAGATATAAAGTATAATAAAATATCTCCAGGGCAGTCAGAATGACGATTCCAAAAATATAAATCAGCCTGCATGATGGAAAACTCCCCCTTTCGCCCATTTCCCCTAAAGCACCCACACAACCCCCTTCATGGAAAAAAAAAAAAAAAAAAAAAAAAAAAGTTGCAAAACTCGTAATAATAACAACAACGACAACAAAGCAAACAAGAGAGGATGCAACCTGATATATACCAAGTGCACAGAAAATCTAGATCAACCACCCTACTCTATACCTGCCCTACAGGCTCGATCCTTGTTAACGGCGATGGTGCCCGCGCTCCACCACCGCTGCCAACTCCACCACCACTACCACCAGCACTAGATGAAGACGAAGCAGACTTATTCCGCCTTTTCCGCTCGCTGCCCGACGTCGATGCTGCAGAGCTACCCCTCCTTCGACGCTGGCGGTCGCTCTGGTTACTATTACTATTATTGTTGTTGTGGGGAGGATCATCGGTGTCCGAGACCGGGTTCGGCGTCGTGCTGCGCGAGGAGGTGCGGGAATGCGTCATGGCATCACGGTCTTGCTGGTGTTGCGGTCCCGGCCGGCGTTTCGTAGATGTTGTGGATGCGTCTCTCTGGTGGGAGAGGTGGTGGTGGTGGTGGTGGTGCGAATGGGAGTGGAAATTGGCGTGGCCACCACCGCCACGGCCATGACTACTACCCCCAGAAGGCGTCGTGGGCCTCCTCCCCGCAGACGAAGTAGTCGATAATACCGGCAGAGGTAGTGTTTTTGGCGCCCACAGGAGCCTCATCCACCAAAACCAGCCGCCCGCCATCTTCGCGTGCTCGCGCCGCTGCTCTTTCAACTTCCGCCGCAGCGCCGCGCGGCGCTCATTCTCCTTCTCCCAGTAGTCGGAGCGGTATTCATCCCAGTTCTCAGCGGAAGGCGGGAGAGAAGGATTTCGGGAGTAGGAGGAGCTTG